GAATGTAACATTGTTAAACATTAACTCCCTTTCACACACGCGGGGGTACGATACGAAGGGAGAGTTTGAGGCCTAAGTCTAGGCTTTAGCCTAGCTGTAGGCTTTAGGCCGCCGTGAGTTAATTCTTAATTTAACTGTTTTTATTATTTATGTAAAAGCTTTAAATTTAAATGTTTCTATTCAAAAGCATCAGGGAATGTAACATTGTTAAACATTAACTCCCTTGCACACACGCGGGGGAACGATACGAAGGGAGAGTTTGAGGCGTTGTTCGAGGCTTTAGGCCTAGCTGTAGGCTTTAGGCCGCTGTGAGTTAAATTTTAATTTACAAGTTTTAATTAAAAGCTATCTCAGGGAATTATAAGGGAATGTTACACTTGTTTAGCCAGGAAAGCCTTATTAATTGAAATGTTTTACTTAAAAGCTATCTGAGGGAATTATAAGGGAATTTTACACTTGTTTAGCCAGGAAAGTGTCACTGAGTCTAAAGGTTTTTGTAGGGTCATGCCAAGTGTTTTCAGTAGGGGGCGATGTCGCTACACGGACGGACGGACGGACAAACGGACGGACGATATAATCTATTGTAGGCTGGTCCACTTCGTTCCTACCAGTAAAATCAACATTAGATTAATATGGGTCCCTGTGGGTCTCTATGGATCTCTATGAGTCTCTGGATCTCTCTGGGTCTCTTGAGTATGGGTCTGTGTGGGTCTCTATAGGTATCTACAAGTATAGGTCTGTATGGATCTCTGTGTATCTCTGTATCTTTATGGGTCTCAATGCGTTCAGCATATTTGGCTGCTATTTTTTCCCCACACACGATGGTGATGATATCAGTTACTTCGTTGAGCTATGTGATAACCAGGTCGCTTCTGAGCCTTAACCTGGTAAAATAAAAAATAGTTTAGTTTTAGTATGGCTAAATAAGTATTGGTCTCTGTGGGTCTCTGTGTATCTCTGTGTTTTATACGCATCTCTATGGGTCTCTGTATATCTTTATGGGTCTCTGGTGTCGATAGAAACACGCATTTAGACTCACGAATTTGGCTGCTTACTTTTACACCTGGTCAAATAAAAAATAGTTTAGTTTAAAAATTCATTCAAAGGATTTTTCAACGACAGCAGACACTTGAGAGCGAGCGAGCGGTTGACATCCAGCGAATTTTGTGGCTGAAAAAAAAACCGAAGCTATAAATCTACAAACTTTTTATTTTACAAGGTAAGGTCCCACTGAGCTACGTAGCTCTTTTTCAGAAGCGGCCTGGCAATCACAAATGATGGCAGCTCAACCACGTGGCTGATATCGTCACCGCGTGGGAATTTATAGCGGCAAATACTCTGAACGCTTAGAGATGCATAGAGACCCATAGAGATCCACAGATCCACAGAGATGTCTAACAACCCATCGATAACACAGTATTATCTATGTGCCTTGAGCATCAAATCTGATGGCTTTAATGGGCCACTGTGAATGAAAATCGCGAGAGTGGCTAGACAGCGTTTCTCAAATGCCCCCATCGCTCGTGATTTGCCTGCGGCGCTTGGGACGCTCGTAAACGGTAGCATCAGATCACCTTGAGACACGGTCGGCGTGTGAATCATCATTTCTTGAGTAAATTTGCGTTGTGCTTCACGCCTTTCCCGTGCCCTGACAACATTTGCGGTTTTGTCAGCTCCGCTGTTGTCCTCTCATTCATCTCTTGGTCGCCGGTGTTTTAAAAATATGTTTTCCGGGGTCCTGTTTCACGACTAAATCACGTTGCGCAGAAGTCAGGTTTGGCATCCCGACGGAATCATTAGTGCCGCTGTTGGGAAGCGTGTTGCGACAATGAAGCGAGGCGTTCCAGGCGGGCGCTTGACAAGAGATCGGTTTCCCTGAATCGTGTAAAATAAGAAAACAGCAGGTGTCCCACTGGAGCCAAATAAAAACTGCATAATTTATAATTGAGAGTTGCCTACAGGGGATATCACAGAGGTACAAATGGCATTAGATGTGCGAAAGGCTCATCAATTTTATAACCGCATAAATTCATAGTGGCAGCTGCCGCGGTTAAACATCCGTCTGCCATTGACGCTCAATGTGTGTGGCATGGCTGCAAAAGCATGTTTGTGTTGTCTCGTTATTTAAATGAAAATAGAGCCATTATATCTCCATACTAGGGGTATGACATTTCCAAATCGTGGAAAACATGTCAGGCGTGTTTAGTTTTTGAGATCTAGACGTTTAAGGAAAATGTCATGCGGCGTTATAAGTGACAAGGCCGTTTGTGGTCGTGGAGGCAAACAGGAACCCAAGTTTAGGTGGCGACGCACCAAGCTTAGTGCTGTTAGGGCTTGGCAGTGCCTCATGTGAAACCTTTTTGAATATTGAAGGTTGCTTTAAAAAATAAATCTCAAGTTTAGATTTTTTTTGGATCTGCAAACGACATTCCAACTGCTCTTTCAGTAACAAATACGGTCACTGCATCGCGCGCTTTTAGATGCTTCTGCGGCCGTCTGGAACGCTCTTCCTTAAAATATTAGGAAACCACTGGAAATGTACGCTTCTATTTAGAACTGCTTTATGTGTTTAGTTTATTGTCCTTCCCCCGCACTTCCGATTAGGACGGGTGGCTACGTACGGTGCAAAAGAAGTTCAACATACGTACGTGTCTAGAGATGAAAGAAGACTTGAAAATGCAACACCCGGTCTCAGAGAACGGCCTCTGAAAGATGTGACCAAACTTCTTATGAGGTGCATGCACTGGTCTCTCATCCACTATAGATGGTGCTCCTTCTATCCTGCCTTGCTATCGAGGTGATCATCACGTGGCAATAAAACAAATGTTAGTCCTCAGAGCTGATTCTATTCTTGCGTATGCTGGAAATATGTTCGGGAACGAATTGCCAATCCCCTGATCTGCTGGTTATGAGAAGGCTTCAGGAGAGAGTTTGTGCAGTTTTGATATTTCTACATTAAAAAGTACAGACGACAGTGGTGTACTATATGATCCATAGTTTGGGTTGCATATCGACAATCACCCTACTGTGGCTTGTCTTTAATATAGACAAATTAAGTCAAACAACAAATGCAACATGTTTTTAATGCTTACAATAACAATCGCAATATTTCTAACATGACCCCAGTGTGTTGTTTATAAATATATACCTTGAAACGATGTGGGAATTTTAACTGAATTAAAAATAGCGTAGGGTGTATTCGAAAGTATTGCACTGGATCTAACGTATATGTTGAGCTCATTGAGAGGAAAGGTCTTTCCGCTCAAGTCTGGTCCAATTTCGGCTCTCAAACTCCACACCGGTGTCAATCAGTGCTCTCATTTGGAGAAAATGGAAACGTTGACAAGTTTTGAATGCCTCCGTGCAAACGGCCTCCTCCACAAGCACCGTAATGGAAGGCATTGCACGCTCCAGTTTATTCAGTCGGCCTGGCCTCTTGGGGGTTAACGTCTCATTTACTGATGGACCGATGGACGGACGGAAGGACGGGCGGACGGACGTGGCATCTGGCGAGGGCGGCAGCGACGAGGCAGTTCCCAGGGGGCTCCGCTCGATACGCCTAGCCGCGCGTCACGGTCGGATGGCGAGCTCGCTGGCCTCTGCGCGGAGCGGTGTGGCCCCGCGTTACTTCGGTGGCACGAAGATTTTTTGTTGTTGTTTTGTTTGTAAAAATAGCTCCGTTGAAACCCTTGCTCGCTCTCCTCGTCGCCTGCAGAGTAAGCCATCAATCACGTTGCCCCGTGCAGCTCTCGGTAGCCCCGACGATGCTGACGATCGGTTGCTTGGTTTCTGGGTAAAGGATGAAGTAGCAAAAATACAAATGGGAAGGGGGCTCGACATTTCGCCTGCAGCACAGAGTAATTGTGCCAGTAACCGTGGACTTAAGCGGAAAGACTTTCTCTCGTTGAGATGCATATCCAGTGGATTACTTTTGATTACATCCCACGCAACTTTCAGGTTCGGTTTAAATCCCACAAAATAATTTCAAGGTGTTTACAATCATCACACTGTTGTTTCACCTCCGATTAGCACGGTTGGCTGCGTGCGGTACGAAAAAAGTGTAACATGTGTATCTATGAAAGGATTCAGCTCATTCCGTTGTTGAGCAAAGGTCTCTTTATTGATGACCCACAGGTAACGTCCCCGGCCTTACAGCAGGTAATACACTAAAATAAACTATTTTTTTTAACTATTTTAATTTTACCAGATAAGGTCCACTGAGCTATAAAGCTATTTTTCAGAAGCAACCTTGCTATCACAAATGATATATCAACAAAGTGGCTTATCACGTGGAAATATTTTGCAGCCAAATACTCAAAAACGCATGTTTCTAATCCGGAGGGGAAAACCGGAGAAAAATCCACGCGACCACGGGGAGAACAATCAAATTCAAAATATACATCAGGGGTCAAGGTCGGGATCGAACCCACGACCTGTATACCAGGTGAGGTATTTAACATCTTGCCACCACATCGCCCCACGCTTCAGCACTCCGGACACAGAACTCCCCTCTCGCCTTCCTCTATCACGTCCCTTGCCAGTCAGTCATTGCCCAGGGCTTTTGCCCCAAATGACGATGACTCACTGACCCATTATCTCTGAGTCTCCTACGCTCTATCTCTGCCCACGGCTTTTCGTCGTGTGATATTTAACGGGCAAAAGGCGCTTCCCCAAGTCTCGCAACGCCTACGTACAATGAATTACGGCACCCAGGCTGGCTTTTGCGGGAGAGGCACTGCAGCACGTGATGTCTGGACGATACGACGACGAAGACGCCCACGGCAGCCTAAAGAGCGAAGCGTCGCAATGGCAAGAAGATGCGCCTCGAAGTGATTGCCAAGTCGTCGCGAAGCTGTGGGAAACGGGTTTTTTTGCTTGTTAACCCAGCCCAGTAGCACTTGTGGCGCTGAGCTGTGAACGGAATTGCCCCGGTGTATCATTAAGCGTCGGCGGTATGCAATTATGCAGTATAATTGTACGCGATTAAATAAGAAATGGAACACGGGGATGAGAGCCTTTATTTGTTCAGCAGGAATGTACACACACACGGGCGATGCATATTTCATGAGTTTCATCGCCGACAGATATTTAATTGAAAATATTCATCGCAATAATTATCCTTGATATGCAAACAAAAATACGCGTGTTTTGAATTCACTGCACGGACGTTTATCAGGAAAATACATTACTGCGTCAATACTTTACAGTACGGTTCTGCACACACATTGGCAAAACGAACCCCGGGCCACGTCTAGTGTAGATACATCTCTGAGTCCAGCAAGCGCTCCGAGTCCAGGAAGGAACCCTCCGTAGCGATTGCAAACGATAATTTTCAGTATTGCAGCCTTCACCAAGCATCCCATGCGTGCTTTTTTCCGGTGTCCTGCTCATAAATATCCCAGGTCAAATCAAAGTGACTTCCTGTTCAAATGACCGTTTACAAGTCCGGAGTCAACAGTGGAAATTCAACATTCCTATGGCAGGGGAAAGTCTACCCATAGGACTCGCTCCCTGCAAAATTGTACTCTTTTTTTAATTATTATTATCAAACACTGCAGGGATGATGAGCTGTCTCAACCTCCATTCAGGATTTGAACTCGCAACCTTCCGCCGAGCCCCTGGGCGATATGACACTCGCACAAAGGGGAATGAAATTGTCTTCCTGCAGCTCTTGACAACAACACTTGCTGCGCACACAACAAGGACCTGGCTCGCACATGCAGCCACTCAGTTGAAAAAGTTACGTGTTTATTTAATTTGGCGCAATGTTATAATATGTTTTGTGTTTTTTTCTGTTATCGCTTAAAATGTAATACGTAATGGTCACTTAAGAAAGCCATTACTCGCAGAGTTAATGAGTTCTAAGAAATGCGTTTTTCGCTCTGAGGACAGTTGTGATGAATGCTCCCGTCTCGTGAGTAGTTTCTGCACCGTATGAGTAGCCGTCTCTGTTTTTCCAGGGAAGGGAAATTTAGGGTAAAAAAATACCAAAACTAAAATAAAAACAATGAAATGTTGGAACAGTGGGATTTACTAATTCATTCCCGTAACGTCTAAGCAGATCTTGCCATACGTTTTTTTGTCTAGCGGCGCATCGAGACGTTTGTGTAAATCGACCACAAGTCCATACGGTAGACGTACCAATGTTGAGAGTTTCAAAATCAAGTCGTCCACCCACGTCGCGTTGGTGGGAGCGCATCGAACGTGAGCGGGCATGTGGTGACGTCGTCACTTCTCCGTTTCGCCCAGACAACCACGCGGTCCAGAAACGCTCCAAAAACGTCGTCTCCCAAATCCGGAGTACCGTTTCAGAGAAACAGTTTACACGATTTTACGGCGCGTTCATATATCACTCCGTACGCACGGCAGAAGAGCCTCCTTCATTTGAAAGGAGTAATCCCCCCCGTCCCCCTTTCAAGCATTCGCACCACGCACATTTAGCGTCGCTGTTGTCGGTAAATCTCTTGAAATTACCGGATGTGCTTGAGATTACAACACTGCGAGCCCTGCCGAGTGAGCGAGTCTATGGAGCGTTCACAAGGGGAAGAAAACAAAATGAGTGCCGCGAAAGGGCCTAATCTGGAAATCGCGTACACTTAGAAAGTGGGGCAAAGGTTTCAAAGCGAAAATGGAAAGAAACTTCGAGCCAGAGCTCACCAGCTGTCATTCACCCTCCCAGCGATTTGAGGTCTCCATTCAAGAATGTATTTTTGTCAACATTTTTTGCCCGCTCATTTAGATTGTTTCTTGTTCGGTTTTATACGTATATGTGTTTTTTTTATTTCACACCATTATCCTGAATGCAGCATTAGCATGCAATTTGCACGAATCGTACCAAATGGATTCTCACACGCACCATGCAATGCGTGTGTCGTGAGACTAGCACACCGGGGGTTGGAAGGCAGCTGCAGCAGAGCACAAACGCAACAATATCCATTGCTGCGCTGAGCCATTCACCAACCAGCACCGGCCATTAGTGTGGTGAGTAACCCCACTACCACCACCACCCACACACCCATCAGGCATTGTTATGCATCCACCCAGAGCACAGGAAGGGTTCTTTTTTTTAAATCGTCGGGTGCCGGGCTGAACTGCAGCTCTTTTGCGGACAGGTCAGCCGCGGTGACAGGGCTGGAGTGGGAGGAGGAGGGGGGGAAGAGACGCGGCTTTTGTGCTTGCGGTGGAGGAGGTGGTTAGGGGTGGGGTGGGAGTCATTCGTGCCGTGGCACCTCGGACGCGCTTTCCAGTAAACGAGGTTGTGTGCTGCGTCGCTTCGACTCGCTGACGAGTTTGAAGGTGGAAATGCGCCGTTCGGTTGCTTTGTGTCTGCTCGGAGGGTGTGCCACGTTCAACGCGTGTGTGCTCTTGATGTTGTTGTTGGCTTGCTTGTATCCAAAGGAACACCGCAACGCGTGTGAATCTTGATATAATATTTCCCCCCCCCCCCAAAATTCTTCGAAACCTTTCAATATTTTTCTTACAATATTTTTTGTAAAAATAATTCTAAAATTTTTAAGGCATAAGATGCGATTTATATATATATTTTTTTACAATTTAAAGAACGACAACAGAAGGACGAAACCACTGCACCGGTTAATGAGCGTTTCTCAATGACGTCTATTGACAGAGCACTCGTGCGGAGAGGCACGAAATAACAATGCGGCCGATGCACCCCGCACACGCTAGTTGTGAGTGTCAATGCCGGTTTGCCTAAGTGCCGCTGTCACTTACGTGACGCATGTGATATGACATGGGGTCTTAAGAACACGCTTTGTTAACTGCACTTTCCACTGAAACCACGACCACTCGAAATAACCCGCGGCACGGCGAGCCCGCCTCAAACGAGTACCTGGATTCTGGCCCGCTGCGTTTAATACAGACAGTATTCACTTTTACCCCATTTCCACTTGTACAAGTGAGCCATGCCAGGATGGGCCCAGCACGGTTCCAGGTTGTTTTCCACTGGAATTTTACCGAGCTGACCTGGAACTGAACCGTGCTACGCTGGCCTCACAAGACAACGTCTGAATATGGCTCATGCACCAAGCCGTGCTGGGGCGAGGCTATTGACGCGTGCGATTAGTGTGACGTCAAGAGGCACGCCTCGGCTCGTGCAGTAGAAATGCAACCAGTGCTTCCTGACCTGTGCCACGCTGGCTTGGCACGGCACCAGCACGGCTCGAATGTGCAAGTGGAAAAGTGGTATTTGATAGACGTCGCTTGTAGCCACTGCTGCTCTTAAAAATATCTTTACGGTGCCATGTTGGCTCTGCCTTTGGTGTTTAGATGAGCCTGCAAGTATATATATATTTCAACAAGCCGTCACAATTCGTCAGCCATGGTCATTTCACTGCTGGACGAGGCCTCCCCAAGCCACCGCCATCCTTTAGGTGGTCGTGTGATGTAATAATCCACCTAGCTCCTGCACGTGACCTCATCTTATCGCGCCATCGTGTCGGGAGGATATCCTCTCGGAAGCCCTCCATTCCCTTCATAACAAGCGGTGTGGATATTTGCACGGAGAGGCTACTTTAGCGTCTCATTAACCATTATCTAGACGATTAACTTAAACGACGGTCAAGATGTTGTCACGGACAGAGCCGTTGATGTCGCGTAGCTTGCAGCCCCTGATCACGAATGATCGACTTCTTTGTACTCAACGCAAAGTGACGTGCCACTGAAGCTTGTGCTTCTGAGTATTTGGCTGCTATAGATTTCCACGCGATAAGCCACTTCGTTGAGCTATCATTTGTGGCCAGGTCGCTTCTGAAAAAAGAGCTCTACAGCTCAGTGGGCCCTATCTGATTAAATAAAAATAAATAGTTTAGCTTGAGTAAATTATCCCGTCTCTTCACGACCACGTGTCTCATCGGCACAGACATTGCAGCCTGCTCGGGCTTAAAAACGCCGGTATAAGGAGCGTGGAAGTCACGCTCGTTCGTGTTCACCCTCGGCTATCTGCTTCGTAATGGATTTAATATCTCCACCTGGCGAGTTCACACATAGTGTTATAAAAGAAAAAAAAATCACACACACACACACACCGACACGTTTTAAATGAAAAGCCGTGGCGCTATAAAAAAAATATGGCCCCACGTGGATAAAATAACGTCACGGGCGTTCGAGAAGTCTGGAGCTGTTCAAGCGGAGACTATACATCATTAGGCTGGTGCTTAGCAGAGTTGTGGATTGCGCTTTAAGTTTTATGGGGCGCGTATAATGTCCTCCACAGCCGTTTATGTCGCACATCTCCGGCAACCGCGCGCACGCACGCACGGTCACCTTCACTCCTCTCTCCTTGCCCACTCAGGTGCGGTCACCTCGCGTCGTGTGGGGGTTCCTCGCGGGCAGCGATGGGCGGCGCGGCCCGGGCAGATTTGGGACGCGCCACCTGCAGCCGGCCAACGCGTGTGCGTTGATTTCGTTATGACTTGCGGCAATCACTTTTGAGCACTTGCAACGCACGCACGCATTTCGGTGTTTGCCGAGTCGATTGCTGCGTCGCCTCCACCGGCCTGGTTCGCAGCGAGGGGGTCCTGCAGGAGCTGCCGTTCTGGGCTGCTCGACACGAAGCGGCGCATGTAGCCGACCGTAGCGCAAGCGTTCTGACCCCCTCTACCTCGGGGATGTGGGGGGGGGGTGCCGCCCCGTGAAGAGATAACATCTGCGCACCGTCACGCACCCGGTCCCCGCCTCCCCCCAGTTTCGAGCGGGAACGCTCTGCGGAAGTCGCTCGACGCCTCGAGTTGTTCTCCCTTCCTGGCCCAGCGGCCAGTCCACCGCGCCGAAGCGGACTTGTCCACGCGTCGCCTGAGCAGAGATAGAGGCCACGCGTCCAGATACGCGCGCGAGGTCACCGGCTCGCGCGGCGGCTGCTGCGGCTGCGGCGGCGGCGTTTTCCGCACGAGAGGAGCCGAGCGGCTCGAAGAATCGACCTCCCCACCCACCCCGCCGCGCTCGCGTCCGCTAGGTGTACATCTCCTCCAATTTGAAAGCGTTCGCTGCCGCATCGCTGCTGGTCATCCTGCCGTGGTGCTCGCCGCCGTTGGGGCACGGCAGCTCGGTGACGGAGGCCGTGTAGGACGTGGATGCCATAAAGTATTGATCCCTGCGCTCGTGCCCCATGCGCAGCATGTACAGGATCCAATACCTCTTCAGCGCCGCTTGCACCTGGCGGGAGGAACAGGGGAGAGACGTGGGGCCGAGCCGTTCCCAACTGTTCATGCCATCTTTGCCTGTTTCCATACGCTGCGGACGATACGGTTTTTTTAATGAGCGAAAGTCGGGGGTGCGTCTGGCAATCCGGCAGCTGTGCGTGCCGCCGCCGTTCCCACGTTGCTATGTGGTCGGCCTGGTTGTGCGAGGGACCAGATTTCTATGCGGTACTACATCGACAGCGGGCACAAGCTTTGCGTGGTGCGTCTTACTTTCCGGAAAGGGAGGTTGCCGCCAACTCGTGTTTTTGTTGTTAGCAAATCTCCCCACCGTTTTCGTTTTTCTTTCTCCTCTGCTTGCAGTTAACGATTTGTAATTTTCAATGTAATACGCGGACGGGCAGCTGGGTCGCGTTATTTTGTGTGCAGAGTGGGCCTGCTGGCGTTTCATAACTTGTGAGGAAATATGAGTCATTCTTGGGAATATTTTGTTGTTGTTGTAAAATCGGTGGAGTCAACGGTTGCCTTATTTTTGGTGCTCGCAGGCGGGGTGGCTTTTGTTTTCCAGCACGGCGAGCAGAAACTCTGCGGGCAGCCCCGTGGATGGCCGGGGGCGGACGGTGTTGGGTAATAGGGGGGCAGCTGGGGGGGGGTCGGGGATTGTTTGGCCTCGGGGCTGCAGTGATCTCAGGCTTAACGCGATAGCTCCCTGTTTGGTTGTAAAATGCAGACCGCCCTTCCCCAGCGCCCGCAGAGCGCATTACCGCACGTTTTTTTGGTTAAATCTCTGATTATTTTCTTGTACGTGCCGCACCGCTCCTTAACCAGGACGCATTGCGCCTGCGCTACACGTGCAGAATCTGAAGGCACCGTGTGGGATATTCTGCGTCGGGTTCACACGTAATGCGAGAGTGTGGGCGCGAGACGTGTGTGTGTGGGGGGGGGAGGCTGTTTTTTAAATTATCTGAGACAGTCTGTAATGAAGCCCTTTCAACGCGAGAGCAATTGGCAATGGAGGATGAGGCATCGAAGCTGTGTTTTTTGTTTATCTCCCACTCGAATGAAACAGGCAACTCAATTAATGACTGCAGTGAGATGTCGCGGAGGGCGGGGTGGGGGGGCAAGGGGGCAATCGGGCGCACTGCGCTACAAATGCCGTGACATTAAATTGAGAGGGAAATATTTTTCAGTGAGCGTGTCGACGATGTGCAAAATTATGAGAATGTTTGATGTGCCGTCTTGATGGACTGTGGGTAATAAACGACATGAGATAATCGTGCAAGGTTACATTTCGCTCCCCAAAATTCAAATGACACTTCAATCAATTCGGGGGAGGGGGGGTGATGGCGCAGTGGTTTGTGCACTGCGCTATGAACCCGGCGGCCTCAATTCAATTCCCAGCCAAAGTCAACGCCAGTGGTGAGCGACATCTGAACCGATCCTGAGCCTCTTTATTCACAAACCGACGTGGTGAAGTATGGTCAAACAACCCTCCTGTCCGACACAGCGTCGGGGGATGGGAGGGGGGGGGGCTTCATCCAGCAGTGGTTTGACATAGGGCTCGAAATTACTTTGAATAACCGCAACATCTACGCGGAAGATTCGGGCAGGAATATCTCACCCAAATTTCACATATTTAGCGCAGCACGTAGTCGAATGCGAGTACAGTTTTGAATGCTCAGCCGTCTCTTTCAGTAACCCGGTTCACAATTCTCGGGAAGTTATTGTTGGAAGCGGGCCGCGATGCGTGACAAAACCGGGGCGTTCGAGAAGCCCACTCCTTACCTCGCCGTTGCAGAAGCAGAATATCGTTGCCACCAGAAATCCCTGCAACACAGCGGCATTGTGTTCATTACTCGCGGTGATTGGAAACGGAAACTCGACCGTGTCGGGGGGGGGGGGGAGAATGAGGCTGGGACCCCATTATTCGGGGCGCTACTTCTGCAGGTGATGTCACTTCCAGCGCCAATAAGGCAAATCGGGGTTTCGCCGTGTCACACGTGTGCACCCCGTGCACGTCAAAGGGCACGTCAGCGACGTTCAAACAACGTGGGTCGTCACCTTCCCGATCGCCTCCCCGACAGAATCAACCTTGAGAGGCATCTTGTGACAACCTCGTAAGCTAAGCAGCGTTGAGCCTGGGTTAGTGCTTGGATGGGCGATCACCGTGCCTTAAGCAGACTTGTCGTAGGGCTGCGGCGTTGTATTACATGTGTGGGGAAGTCCACGAAAGAGAATTACTGAAAAATGATCACGACATTTTCAAGTCGAGGTTACGTCATCTTTTTTTGTGGACAAACACCCACGGCAAATATACACGGGGAAGCATTTCAAGATTTAAACAGTGAATTGACAATGTATGTGTGTATATCTGTTGAACTTCTTTTGCACCGTACGCAACCAACCGTGCTAATTGGAGGTGAGGGGGCGGGACAACAAACCAAACCATGGGGGAGCGGGGCTGTTAACTCAACTTTTGACTGTGCGAATGGGCGCGCGTTTTTGTTCATTGTGTTTGGAGAACGAGCGGCGAGCGATTAACGGAGCGGTGGTGAATGAGCACGTGGTGGTGCATGAGCACGTGTTGGTGAATGAGCACGTGGTGGTGCATGAGCACGTGGTGGTGAATGAGCACGTGGTGGTGAATGAGCACGTGGTGTTGAATGAGCACGTGGTGGTCCATGCGCTCGTGGTGGTGAATGAGCACCTGGTAGTGCATGAGCACGTGCATGATGTAGTCGTAGATTTCTCCCACGAACCGCTCCGGCTTCCAGGGCACGAGCACGAACTGGATGCCGAGCAGCGGCACGAGGATGAGGGTGGCGCGCACCGCCTTCATGTACATGCTCGTCTCGGCGCGGTGCGTCACCTTCAGCTTGGTCACCAGCACGCGCACGATGTTCAGCAGGAAGAATAGGTTCACCTGCGTCATGTGACGTTGTGTGTGGGGGGGGGGGGAGAGATCTGTGTAAGCGGCCGCAGGGTTGGATCAGTCCTTCATTTCCGGCAAGTCTTTCTCCTGGTTTTGTTCTCACCTCTTAAATCGCGTTCTTCCATCCCCCGGTCCCCTGCTCCTCTCAATATTTCTCCTGCCACCATCTCTATGCCGGTGACATTGGCTCTACGTCCCCATTGACTCGGTGAACCCAACCAACATCTCTGTCCACTCTCGCATCTTGCCCTAACACGGTCTCAATCTCTTACATCGTTCTATCCTCCACCAGCTAAATGTTCCCAAAGCTGAAGCATTCCTCATTCGAGAAAAGTCCACTTTCGATACGCACTCCAGGTTGAGCGTGCACATCCTAAACTCTGACCACAGGCTGGAGAAGAGCGTGCGAAGCCCTGAAGTTGGCATTGATCCCCAAGCCGTGATTCTCTTCCCACATATCCCCATCCAGCAGGACCTCATACCTACAACTCCGCAATAACCCGAATATCTGTCACTGCCATTACCCCAGCTATCGCTGCAAACATAACTCGGCTATCGCAACTCTCTGTGGCCTCCACAGATCCATCACTTCTGCCCCTGACGAATTTTGAATGCAATACTCCTCAAGCATGTGATGTAATGACACGAGATCACCCCAGCAGTTAGATTCCTTCACTGGCTCCCAATTCAGTCGAGAATTAGCGTCTTCCATGGAGTCGTTTCTGCCGACTTCTCCCCTCTCATCTTGCTATATTCACCTCCATGCGTTCCGCCCTCCAGTAACCAAGGCCTTCACTGAAGGCCCTCTGTTAACCTCTACTCAATGGGAGGTCGCTCCCTCTCAGCTGCTGTCCCTGGGGTCTGGAACTCCTGCCTCATGGCCATCTGCACTTCCCTCCACTCTTCAAGGCTGGGTTCAAGAATTCTCCGTTCATCCTATGATCGTCTCCTATCCACGAAGATTTGTGGTGGTTCTCCATGATGTACGCACGGTGTCTCAGAGCTGCGTTTAGACGCCGTATGAACATTAAATTGCATTGCATTGCAAAGCGGGGATGGTGGGGGAACCGATCGAGAGAGGCCGGTGTTGGTGGGAGAAAAGAATCCAAATTCAGTGAATTCCTGGATTGTCGAATTCCTTGTGCTGCCTGTTGACTCCGAGCCCCCACGAGCATGAGTCACAGGCGCGCGAATTTACTGAGTTCACATGTTTTGATTGTTTTCAACAACATGAGCCACTATCCTTGAGCAGCCTTCATCCATTTCATTTTTTTTTTCTATAGCAGAGTAAGAGCCATTGATTTCGGGATCGACAGATAATTGGAATTGTGTCCTTGTGTAAAGATATTACAATGGACAAATATTGAACTGAGTGTGGACACACTAAGATTACTCTTATTATTCTCATTTTGAGGCACGGGGATAGCAGCGCACAGAATGTGTGTCTCTTCATAAGACGCGTGAAGACAGAGGCCACGTTGCTGATGCTGTGGAGAACGCCTCCACCCGACGATGAGGAATAGCGCCTGTGGGCGTGGAGGTTGGGTCACCAGCTCCACGATACAAAAACAAGCAGGACGTATCATGGGAAGAATAATAAGAATATCTCACAAAACCAGAATAGATGAAGCCCTGCGTGCATTATTATCATTGTGTAATTATTACACAACTGGCAGAAAAAAGCAAAAAAATTCTGTCCCGAGGAAACATGACACATTTCACAGGACAGCTCCCTGGGGAAAACAAGAAGAGGACAATGCTGGGAATACCAGGATGGTTGTCAACCCACGCGCAGCACGTGGTGGCCTACAGCCTCACGGCACGGTTGTCCTCACCAGCAGTGCGGCCACGACGGGCCCGTGGATGATGTAGAGGAGGTGAGTGGCAGAGCTGATCCAGCAGCTGTAACGAGGATGTAAAAGCACATTATTCTTAGCACGTTTTTTTTGTTTTGTTGCAGGAAAAAAACTTGGTGACGCGATTCCGCGGCGCGCGTTCTCGGGGCGACGTATTCCGGTGCGGTTATGGGCGTGAGAGGCTTTTTTTGAACGGAGCGAGCATCTGACCGTGGGAGTTTAACAATGCACAGTTGTGGCGTGGCCCCTGCGTGGTGATCATTTTGGACAAATGTGGGCGCCCGCGCAATGCGGCACGCACTTGTCGTCGTAGTAGATGGTGCGTGCGACGGCGTGCATCAGAGCGGGGACGATGGGGAAACCTGCGGGAGGACAAAGACAACGACAAAGATTTCCGTGTAGCCCACACAGGCTGCAGGGGCAAGTGCTAATAGCGAGCACTGATTAAAAGAGCGTGTGATCAAACGTGGCAATCCCCGCTTGTGGCACTTGTGACATCACCGACAAGAGTTTTGTTTTTTGAAAAATGGAATTTAATTATGATTTGATCAACGATCTTGGGTTTTAATAATTTGGCATCCGTGATGACAAGATCGGGCCATTTTATACGTATTTTTCTTGTCGGCGAGTAAACCTACGCAGGCACTGCCTGCCATTACCCAAGATAATTGAGAGATTACTGTATGAAATTTTGAAATTAAAAGGTGAAGCTCTTTTCTTCCTGGGTTTGATATAACAGTGGACGATGGTGTCACACAAAAAACACTGTTGAGGACAGCAACGAGACTCCACCTCAAGAGCCACGGTGGCTAGGAGATGTTAACTACCTCGCCTGGTATACAGGAGGTCGTAGGTTTGATATTATTAGGTTTTTTCGGTAAAGTTACGTAGGTAAAAAATTAAAATAAAAAAAAGTAAAATAAAAACATATTTGTATTTTTATTTTACTTAAAATTAATAAAAGTAAAATAAAAAAATATTTTTATATTTATTTTACTTTTATTAATTTAAAATTTTTACCTACGTGACTTTACCGAAGAAAACCTAAGAATATGAATCCTTGCAGTCACGAAAGCTTCAAATATAGAATCGTAGGTTTGATCTCGACCCTGACGTCTGTATATTTGGAGTTCGCACGTTCTTCCCGTGGTTGCGTGGATTATTCTCCGGGTCCTCCGGGTTTTCCCTCCACATTTAGAAACTTGCGTTTAGAGGATTTGGCTGCTGTAAATTTCCACGTCATAAGGGGCTTCATCGAGCTATCACTTGTGGCCAGGTCGCTTCTGAAAAAGAGCTGTATAGCTCAGTGGGCTTTACCTTGTGAAATAAAAAATAGTTCGATCGTTTAGTTTGTAGCCTATTTGGCTCATACCCAGGAAGCTCTTTGCTTCTTAGTTTCCTGGGTATGAAATTCAGCTGGAATCCCGTTAAATACTCCTGAGAAAGGATAGGAGTAGGCCACCTTGGCAATCTCTCCCTATTCTTGGTTCTTTCGGTAAAGTCACGTAGAAGGGAAACAATAAAATAATAAAAATATAAAACAATAAAATTCTCACGACGTTTCGACTGCAACACAAGCAATCATCATCGGGTGTGAAATCCACAGCAAGAAAATGTTCTCGATGAAGCCGCTTGTTTCCCTTCTACGTGACTTTACCGAACGAACCAAGCATATGATTCCCTGCAGTCACGAAAGCTTTAAATCAAAATCTCTCCCTAGTCATGGAGCCCTATAGTACGTGGTGCAGTGGCGTAGTGACGACATTGTCAACTCGGGGGGTGTGGCAATCGGTCAGGTGGGGCCCCATTATTTGATTTGTGTCGCACAGGCCGCACCTAGGCTATTCTGTATCGCGGCTCCTCTTGCCATCATCACATCATCACGCTCACGGTCTCACACATTTCACGCTGTAGGGGCGCTCCGTCTGCACAAAATGCAGCCACTACAGCTCCCGTGGTGGTTGTCAAGGCGGTCCCCAGCTCGTGGCTTTGGCGACCAGGGGCGGCCAAGGCCCCCCCCCCCCCCGTGGCCCCCCACGCGAGTCACGCCACTGGCGTGGTGTCGAGGCGATGGAGGCGAATCGACGCGAGCTGACTCACCCCAGCCGAGCAGGTAGTACCAGAACAGGTGCTGCTTCTCGGCAAAGACGGCCACCACGATGAGCGTGTGCAGGTAAATGCCCTCGCACAGCATCCAGAAGTAGTTGCAGCCCATCATGTACTGGTGGAAGAACTGCAGCACTTTGCACCAGACCTGAAGAGCAGTGGGAGGGTGGCGACAGGGTATGAAGAGGATCGTGGAGGGTGGGGGGGCGTGAGAGGAGCTACCACCGAGTTTGGCGCAGTGCGCGCACGCAAGCTCGTTTATATGAAACACATTTCCTATCAAAATAAACTCTCTTTGACCTCTCGTTGAATGCAACAAGTAATTACTGCGAAGTTGTTCCGTGCTCCTAAGTAAACCCGGCAGGACTTTGTATCAATACGAAGGAGCCAGCCATGGCAGGAATCTGAGAAGTGCCCCACAGCGAAAAGTGCGGGGTCGCAAGAGGGATTTCTGTCCGCGGGCCGCGACGCGCGAACATTCGTGCGGCATCTACCGGCTTGCTGGCCACCAGCTCCTGATTGTTGGCCACTGCCGTGAGCTGAATGATGGTGATGATGGAGTTGAGGATGTAGGACATGAAGAGGTTCTTGTGAAGCGTGATCCTCTGGCAGCTGAGACTTCTGTGGATAGAAAACAGGAAGTGCGAGACAAGCCCCCACATGGCATCAGAGGGGCTGGGGCGGCTGGATCCACCCGCCTTTGAAGGATCGGTCCCTCTTCTTACATGCTAATATTACAAATACATATATCGGTGCAATAATTACCAGCGGCGATGGATGTATTTTAAGTTCGCACCGATCGCGTGCGACCTGCCGCATGAATGCTTGCGCTTTTCAAGCGTCGTGTGTGACGGTGGACAAAATGTCTGAAGAGAGTCGGAGGCAACTTGGACCCAACGCACGGATGGAACCAACGACAAAGCGTTTCCTTGAGCGCACAGAGGCCGAGAGAGCCTAGCGCGACGAGACGCAAGCGGATCGCGCGTCGTTGACTCATTCCGTTCGACGTGCCTTTGAAGTTTTATTGACATCGACTGCTTCCTGCCACACATTGTAACGAGCTCGTACCATAGGGGTTGTGCGAGAGGGCGCGCCGGGTGCCCAAGCTGCCCCCCCCCCACCCCCCGCACCCCCCGCACGCAGAATGTGCGAGGGAAACTCGTTTCAGGAAACATGCCGCACAACCGAACGCTCAAGTGGAAGTCTCACCGGTATTCTTATTCACCGTTTACAGCCACGTGGGGAGTGTTTGTGCGGCGCTTGGCGCACTGGCGCTACGAATCCAGCCACCGAAATTCAATTCTTGGCCATGGCTAACATCCGGTTATTGGACCTTAGTTATACATGCTGGTCAGTAAGGAGCATAGGCGTGGGTAGCATGGAAGTGCAATACAACAATGGCTGTTGCTGCGTTGCCCACTCCTGTCTGCCACGTGAGCACCTCTATTGGTTTAGCCATGTTTGTTTGGTGTAGTACAGAGTTAGACTGATGACCTTAATCTAAGTTGTCTTGTGGTTGTTGTTGGTTTTTGACTTGCATCTCACTGGGATTTTTGCACACAGCGTTGGTGTACGGTGTTTTTTCCTGCAATATTTAGCTGTCTTTTCTTGGATTTTCTGTTTGCACTCAGTCACATATTCACTTTAATATGTTTTTTTGTTCATGTTTTTGTTTTTTGTTTGTTGCGGTTGCACCCGATTCAAGAGCCGAAGGGCTCACAGGGCTATACCTAATAAATGAACTTGAACTTGAACCTCGGCCAAATAATAACCAGTATTGCGCGGATCGTCATCGATCCAAGCACTATCCAGGCTCAACCGCTGCTTAGCTTCTGACATCTGACGAGACCGGGGGCACTGGGTGATTTAGTCACAGGGCTAGAGGATTGAGTGCGCAAGCGATTTAAATAAGGAAACTCTGAACGCGAAACCAACAAAAAACCACACTCGCACCTGATAGCCTCAGAGGCATGACGTCACCCTTCACTCTACTTTATGACCGAAACGGAAGGAAAAAGTTCTTCAAAACGCTGGCTAATTGCCTGATGAAGCGAGGTGGTAATCAGCAGCGAGATGCCGCAGATTACTCGAATTGTAAATGTTGTGGGTTTATCATGGCACTTTCCTGCCAGTGCCAAAGTTTGAAAATGTTATAATGAGCTGCGCCCTTTCTGGCAATAAAACAGCAGGTGTTAAGATGCTCAAGCAGCAATAGATACCTGTTTTAAGGAATCAAGTTTGCATTAACCACGCGTACTTGTGGTTGAACATGCAAACACACATCATGTAAGGCATTGTCTTTGACACTGATTCGCCTGCACCAGAGACGTTCTTTATGGCCGAATCTCACCAGTGGCAGACGAGATAACTCCCCGACACACCGGTGTGCCGAAGTCGTAAACCAACTCGCACGTTTTATTCACGTGACAAACCCTTGCCGATTGCCGGTGGCGGGTGTAACGGCACATTTATATTCGAGAGATCGAACCCAACAAATACTTTATGGGGGGAAAAAAAACCCCACATTCGCTTGTGCGCAGCGCACGCTCACGCAGCAATGATGTAATATACCAGAAACGCACAAAAAATGCATTGTGTTTAAAGGCGCCGGCGGTAGTGACCATACATGGGATTATTGCGTGGGTGAGTCGGGGTCGTGCAGCACAAACAATCAATGAATCAGTTTAATTCAAAGTCCCGTGAGTGTTTAGCACACCACAACGCTACAGGTCCGACGGAACGGGTTCGGATTCTGTGAACATTTGCACAACACCAGTTGCACAGTTCGCTGAACAGAAACACTGAAGCGCTTGTTTTTGCCTCTCAAAGAGCTTTATAGCTCATCGGATTCCTCCACTATCAATAAAGAGTCTGATGACTTGGGGTGGGAGGGGCGGGGGTACGCTCCCCTCCTGTGCTATATGCACTCGAGACTCGAGACCCGCATGCTGTGTGCGAGCTTGTTTCTGTGCTCAACTCTCGTAAGGAACAACAACAAACAAAGATCCCCCGAATAGCCTTAACAGACTGGAGGGGCAAGTGCTCTTAGCGAGCAGCTCCTACGAAGGCCAGGACGGAATAGCCTTTGTCTCCCGAGTAGTCGATGTTTACACACCGCACGAGGTACACATTTGAGGCTGAGTCGACCTAAGAGAGGCCCAGGCCCGGTTCAGATAATCGTCGCTGGTGATGGCCGTGAGCGGGAATCGTAAAACCCGGGTCGCCGGGTTCGTAACGCTAACCGCTGCGCCACCGCCCCCCGCTCGTATATTGACGGCCACACCACGACGCACATTTGTGTATTGTCGGGGGGGTCGTGAGTGGCCCCCCGCGAGGCCTTGCCATGAAGAACATTGACCTAAGGGCACTTGGGTCTTCTTGAACAGCGTAGGGGGCGGAGGGGGTCAACTCCCTCCAGGCCCGCAGCAACCAGTAACCCGTCCCGCCGTGGCTCTGAAGCGTTGCGGCGAGCACGGGAGACTCACTTGAAGTAGAAGAATATGACGAGGGAGACGAGGAGCACGAGGATGGAGATTCCGTGGCCGGTCACCGCCAGGTAGAACAGGTTCACCGCCATCTGCCGCACACACCAAGCGAGCGATGCTCACTCAACATTCTGCTGGCACGGTCGACAAGTATTCTGCGCGCCGCAAGCGATCTGACAATGGGTGGCGTAAGCTATCGAGTGTGCAGGCGGTGCAACTGCACCGGGGAGGGGAGGGCTCAATCTGGCTTAGGAGGGGGCCATGACCGCCAGGCTACAGAGCTTGATAGAAGCGCGGAAAGTAAAGGTTTGTACGCTGCTAATGAGCATCTTCCAGGTATCTTTTATTGAATCGCTCGGTGAAACAAGAAGAAATATGCTGATTTCCGCTCTGATGATCTGTAGACTTGGTGAATTTTTTTCCATTTCATCGATGTGTAAAATGATCTTATCCCCCCTTGAAAAACAAATCTAAAATATGACGCCTGCATAAATCATTGCCATATTGCTCCAAACACGTTGACGCTGATAACAATATCTACACTGTGCATCTTCGAGCGAAAATCTTTATGAAAAAAAAACCCCCACCACTATGAAAGTGATCTTCTTGATAAGTTTATCGATGCGTGTGTTACATCACAACTTTGTCACACGTGGTAGTTGGATTATCTGAACCCTGTTGTTTTCATTACTTGCACCAATGGAAGGAAGAATACAGAAAGAGAGGCCGACCCAAGATAATTTGGATGCCGAACGAATATACTAAATATAAGGTCGCACGAATGAACCACAACACCATGCTGATCTCGTCAAGGAGCATAACCCATCACGCGAACTCCTCGCAGCAGCGGCTCTTGGCTAGCCATCGACCAAAGGCGGTCACCGCATCGCGCGCTTTCAAATGCGCTTCAGTGGCCGTCTGGAACGCTCTTTCCTTCCGATATCAGGAAGCCACCGGAGCTGTGCACTTGTAAATCTAGATTGAAAAAGAACAATTTCTTTGCAACTGTGTGTTTTGTGTTTAGTTTATTGTCCTTTCCCCGCACCTTTGATTAACGCGATTGGCTACGTGCAGTTGCGAAAGAATTCAACATATTGTACATGCAAAAGCGATAACAGGGACTGATGAGTCGGCACGGCATCTGACCAGGACTGCGAATGAAACGGAAACACGGAGAGAGTTGACGGCCGAAGCATCAGTGGCCCAACGACCGTCAAAGTAAAGGGAGAGATGAAGATGATGATGACGAGCAGGGCTCATGCTGACCACGTGAAGATACTGCTGCTAGTGTCACACTTGCTGGAGTGCAACGGCCCAATTTCACCACTGGATATGCAGGTAAATGTAGTGGATGGAGGACGTCCTCCTGATACATGTTTTCGTGCCCTTTACTGGGAGTCGAACCTTGGTGGCCTGCACCTTGTGGGGGTTCAGTGCGGTGGACCCTGCTACCAGAGTGACCCCTTGTGCGAGTGCGTGACGCAGCCGTAATTGGTGCAGCGTGTCTTTGGAATTCATCCCACGCCCCTCTCCCTCGCCGCCGAGATGTTTGCACCTTCACCAGCTGCTTCCCTGAGGCTTTGCCTCGAGAATCGATACCCAAAAAAGGAGCGAGGTCTGGGTTGCAAATCGTTCTCATGACCGCGCTCTGCAGGTTTCGGTTATCCGAACGGGGTTTCGGTAGCGCGCTTTCTCCATGGCGCGCTACCGCATCATCACACAGTCATCGCACACGCGCCGCCTGCATTTAATATTCTGCGGCAGTTACACGGGGAGCAGCGCGGCAAATACGGCGTAAATCAAAGTAAATGATAACTTACCGTCAAGGCTCGTGCGTTGCTAATGAGCCCTTGCTAAGCATCTTCCAGTTAACGTGTATGTATTTGCTCGGTGAAACAAGAACGAATATGCTCATTTCCCCCCGATGATCGGTACACTTGGTGAATTTTTGCATTTCAAGGGATGTGTAAAACATCCCCGTGAAAAACAAATCTAATAACGTATACCTGCATAAATCCTCGTCTTATTGCTCCAACACGTTGACGCTGTGATAATATATATATATACACAGTACACCTGTGAGTGAAAAGTCTCAATGAAAAGAAACCCACCACTATTAAAGAGATCTTGCTGACAAGTCTACCAGTGCGTGCGCTACATCGCAAATTTGTGACGCGCGAGTCAAGTGGCGGCAACGGCGGCCGTCGCCTCCGCGATTGTTGTGTTTTCCAGGATGAACGTTTTCCCTTGGCTGCGCTGGCAAACCTCGGATCGCGTTACACGGCAGCCGGAGCCATTTATAACCGGCCACGAGGAGACTCGGAGCACAATTAATCTGCTAATTATCTGCGAGGGTGATGTGCACGCGGTTCAGTGCCCGTGTCACATCCCTTGTTGCGCACGACACAAGCTCGGAATGCATTTGGACGCAACAAAAATCTCCACTTCCAATTTTTGTTGCTTGTTGTTTTTCTGTTGCTTCATTTCGGTAGCATGACAGCTATTGTTTTACCCCAGAAAAAAAGGTCACGGGGCTGGGTCGAGCAGACAGAGTTAAATTAATGGCTTCTCATATTCTTGGTTCTTTCGGTAAAGTCACGTAGATAGAAAATAAAAATAAATTAAAAATGAAAATAAATTTAAATAAAAAATAGAAGCAAAAATGAAAATAAAAATTAATGTTAATAAATTAAAAATTTATTTTAATAAATTAAAATGAATTTTCATTTATTTTTAATTTTCTATCTACGTGACTTTACCGAAAGAATCAAGAATATGAATTCCTGCAGTCAGGAAAGTTTTAAGTCAAAATTGAATGGCTTCTCCTTCGGGTGAAGCGGTAAACCTACTGCGTGGCCCGTGCCGCTAATGAAGGCGGTGGTCTGTGCGATGAGACCCCCGTCCCCCCCCAGGCGACACAAACTGCCCGTGCCTTACCCTGACCCACCGGCCCCGTGTGGAGCTTCCCGCTGCGGCCCCCTAAGGAATGGCGCTGCCTCGGCGTCGTCACCCTTAGGGCTATCAACGCGAGCCTTCGCTTTTTATTTGGTGATTTTTTTAAAAGTTTTTCGGTTTGACCATGTTTGTTTGTTGTAGTACAGAGTTAGACTGATGGCCTTATTCTAAGTTGTCTTGTGGTTGTTGTTGTTTGACTTGCATCCCACTGGGATTATTGCACACAGTGTTGGTGTACGGTGCTTTTTCTGCAATATTTTGCTGTCTTTTCTTGGATTTTCTGTTTGCACTTAGTCACATAGTAACTTTAAGATGTTTTCTTGTTCATGTTTTTGTTTTTTTGTTTGTTGCGGTTGCACCCGATTCAAGAGCGGAATGGCTCACAGGGCTATACCAAATAAATGAAACTTGGAAACGTGAAACTTGTTTGCACGGTGGCGCAAATTCGACGGCGCAGTTTAACGCCACCGTCTCAAGGCCGGCGAATTATATTTTTTCGAAATAGGCTGGTGATGAAAATTACAATGAAAAGCCAACACAAAAGTAAGAACAATCACTTATACGCATTGATTATTTCATCTTTTTCAATGTCTGGCCAAAGCACGTAGTCACATTTGCAAATTGGCATTTGTAGCGCCGGCTTGTGTCTCCAAATCCAGCAAAACCCTTTGATAGATTTCGCCACTTTTCAAGTCTCTAATAGAAATACAACTTCACACTAAACCTTTGTTGACACTGGAGCATCTTTACGGAAGTTACGGTACACTGCCCTCCCACTCCCAGCCCCCCGTTACTAAAGGATGGACAGCGTGAATAGTGAACATATGAGAGCCAGTGTGCCCCAATGCTTGAGGACTCATGGGCAGAGTGAGTGACGATCGTGTGACATTTCCAAATCCGAGGAAAATTCTGGCATCAACCAAAATGACCCCGGAGAGAACCGCACTCGGAAATACTTGGAAACCCTCATCAATCTCTACTTGGACGTTGATTGACATATTTCCTGAATTGTTAAACCAACAAAGAGATGCTGGATAATCCATCTCCTCCGATGCAGCACGTGTGATAAACCATCAAATGTGCCATGCTCTTTGGTTCTTTCGGTAAAGTCACGTAGGTATAAAATAAAATAAATCACGACGTTTCGATTGCAACACAAGCAATCGTCATCAGGTGGGAAAAACACAGCAAGAACATTTTCTTGCTTTTCTTTTTTTGCTGTGGTTTTCCCACCTGATGATGATTGCTTGTGTTGCAATCGAAACGGCGTGATTTAATATATTTTATTTTATACCGACGTGACTTTACCAAAGAGTATGGATCCCCGCAGTCACGAAAACTTCACATCTAGATTTTAGTGTGCCATGCTTTTAGAAATGTTTCCCCATATGTTTGCGCGAACGATTGAAATCACACTTGCGCAAGGGGCGCCTTTCTCAGGTTATCTAGGACCTCCTACCTAAAAATGAATCCTTGACATGTGTTGGGAGTTCAGCCCCATCGAACAAATCAGCGGCACCTTCGTACATTTAGAGCTCCCAAATACACTATTTTTTAAAGCATGAATTCCACCTCTCGCAAGACCGCTCCATTGGCAGTCGTGAGAGAATTACGAGCTTGGGCGAACTCGGCTTGCGCGCGATAAGCCGTGCTGTTACCTTCAGCTTGTCAGCGGTGAATGCATTGCACAGCGTGTAGTTGGACCAAGTCCTGTTGCTGTCGGGGTGACGGAACCATTGTCCATCCGTGTTGCAAATCTTTGTGACTTTCTCTGCAAAGAAGAAGAAAAAAAAATCAAGCACGGTGTGTTAATCAGGGCCCCCTGGATCTGTATGCGTGCGATCGCGCCCTTTGGGACGTGCCGAGCGATTCTGCGGCAGCGACCTTTACGCGCGTGGGCAGAAGGCTCGAAAGCCGGTCTATATTGTGTTGATTCTTCATGAAAACACGTCTGCGCATGTGGCTCGCATTAATTATATTCGCCAGGCCAGGGCGATGATAAACGTCTGTGAATTAAACGGTTCGGTTATCGGCAATGGGGGTCTACAGAGCAGTGGTGCAGGCGCTATCAACCCGAGTGTGATTCCTGGCCACGGCTGGCATCAGTGGCACATCCTCCGCCCCACCCCTCACTTCACAAGCCCTCACTGACCGGTTTGGTGAAGTATGATCACAGAATTCCCATGACCAACACGGCATGGAGAGTCAATCGTCCAGCAGTGGTTTGAACAAGGGCTGTAAATTATTTAAATTAGATTAAAGGAGTGATTTTTTTTATTGTCTGTACCCAGCACACTCTAACACTCTCACATCGGTAAGGACCCGTGTGTGTGTGATGAAGTAGGCCATCTGTGTCTTACTTAATGGAAGAACGGCACTCAACACAGAGTGCATTACTGTGCAGAAATGTGGTGAAATATGACTATCTAAATATTCAAAATACCCACTCGGAGGACATTTTCAGCATTCGACAGGAGCAGGAGGTCGTGTATCGAGAACGCTGCCACAGGCGCAAGGGATGCAATTCCCTGCCTTATTAACGATCATTAAAATAGTTCAACTGTGGTCCCGTGGGTCGTGTCAATGCTAAATTGCTACGATAATTCCAGTGAGCAGAGCGCTTCCCACGTTGATGATTGGCTCTCTCTCTCTCTCTCACGTACACACCTTTAGCCCCTGTGTCACTCCAACCGTGCGGGGACAATATGATTTGTGGTGATGGGGGAGGGGGGCATCGTATCTATGGGGATGACCAAGAAGCAGGCCCAATGTTGACAGAGATGCGACTTCTCTCCATTAAATGTCAACCTGTGGTACATTATAATAATGTCAATTATTTCACCAAGAAAGCGATGTTTGAACATTTCCTACTCACGAGTGATTTCATGGGGGAGGCAATCTGAGTAAGCGGGGGGGGGGAGGGGGTGATCCTCATGCGTGCAAGGTGGGAAGTGCTCAACACCGCCGTCTCGTGGCCACCTCGCAGCCCCACACCCACAACACCTGGCAAGCCCCGATGGCAGAGGTCGCAAACGGGTTTTGATTCCTTACCCGTACCCGTACCCGGCCGCACCAGGGTCGCAAACGGGTATCCGTACCCGGCCGTACCCGGCCGTACCCGTACCCTACCCGTACCCAGCCGGGTACGGGTAGGGTATGGGTATCGGGTACCTGATTGTGACCTGTGCGATGAAGCTATGTTGCAGGCGCGGGTGAGTTGATTCTATGGAACTTGAATTGTGAGAAGAGACAAGACGTTGGGAAATGAGTGACAAACAGGTTACTCACCAGTGACTCACGGCCTACCCGTACCCGTACCCGGCCGCACCAGGGTCGCAAACGGGTACCCGTACCCGGTCGGTATGGGTAGCCGGGTATCGGGTAGGGTACGGGTATCGGGTACCCGGTTGCGACCTCTGCCTGATGGTCACCCCATGCAAGCATGAACCGGGCTCAACTTTTCTTAGCTTTTTGAGATTTGACTGGACTGGGTGATTTTTTTGTTTGTCTGTTTTTAAATCACAATTGCTGAGCACAGGCCCATAGGTGCCCAAGCGGCCAGCAGGAGACAGCGCTGTGGAGGGCTTTGTGTGTTGTTTGAAACATGGGTTTCTGGCCTGCCCTGTTGTTCTGTTTTGGGGTTGTTTTTTTTTTATCTCGTCATTAACAGATTTGATTGTTTTTTGGCATTAGCCAAGATAATGAGCCCCGTGGTGTGGATGTAGGGGACTCCACATGAAAGGTTTTCAGAGACAGACTTTACAGCTGTGAGCATCGGTGACTAGACTGTGCTGATGAGTCCTGGTAAGGATGAAGCCAAGTCCACTGTTGTCTATCACTGCATTGCTGCTGTCAGTGGGCCACATTTGATGGTGATCTAAGACGAGACGACCACAATGCACTTGTTCAGGAAATACTGATGGCCTTTGCATATGTCCAGAAGCAGTGTGTTTGAAACTATTGAAGGTGTCATAGGTAAGTGTTCATACATTTTTTGAATTGAGTAAAGTTGTACGAACGTGAGAATAGAGACGATGGGAGGGAATTCCAAAGTTAAAGCATTGTGGGGAAATAACCATGAACAGAAGCGTTGTGGCCAGCAGTGTGGTGGTTGAACACAGAGTGGATGGGATGAAACAGCCAGTCTGTTGGACCACGTCCTCAACACGATTGGGGAAATCAATGAGATTGGGTTATAATCTCGGGCAGATAGGCGGCTGTTTGGGGTGAGACTTCTCACGGAATAGGCTGCGCCGTTAAACCGTCGACCCCTGAACTCGCATATCCCTGCTCCCATTCGCAGCCAACTGCATTTATGAGGACCGTGTTTACTCATCCCCTATCATAACTCAACTCTGCAAGATTTTCCCACCCTCGTTCTAACGTTCAGTTTATGGAGTTGGGCAATAATTATATTAATAAAACATGTCCCGCGCTGCGTAAAAAATTACAGCTTCCCTTTTTACAGGGCTGTGCGAAATCACCAGCTGCTGGGACTTGGCACGGGTGAGCACGGTCGGTGCTAGAGGGCATCTGGAGTATGTCATGGGTGGGTCCTGGGTGGGCCCTACACCACCCCTGTGGCACCACCCAAGTACAAAATCCTTAGCGGTGAATGACTGTTGTAGTACCCCCCCCCCCCCACACACACAGCGGTTTTACTGCCCCCCTCCACCCCAATCTGACATGAAGCTGGCTGGGTGCACTGGGCGTGTGATGATTCATGCATTTTTAATCGATTTTCGGGCTCAATATTGTCTAGAATTTTTGAAATGTAAAGTGTTTTAAACCAAGTCGCTCATGCAAAAATCGTGTGTCACAATACGCCTGTATTCATCTCCTGGTTAAATGAAGGACGTTACTAATGCTGCTATGTTACATGTAATGTGCAGCCAATTTTTCAATACATTTTTGTATGAAAGCCTCCCCGCGCAATGTCAGTAATGGTGGTTGTTTGACCTTACTTTCCCATGCTGTTCAATGTGGGATGGTGAATGGACCAGTTCAAATGTCACTCGCCACTGATGTTAGCTGTGATTATGCATGGAACTCGCGCTAACATTGAATTTATGCTAATTCTACGTCTGGACTAATGGAGTAAACAGAACTACACGAATGAGACAGATTAAATGAGAATATGAGAATATCAATGAGATGGTATATCGGACAAAAAGTATCCATTAGTGATGTGACTTGCGACCCTGAATCATTATAATTCATTGAATCCCTGAGAATACGTTGAACCAACAGGGTCCGGGTTGAAGCAGTGTTGCCAACTTAGCAATATTTTCTCTTGATCTTGTGACAAATCTAGCGAATTTCTGGGTCGAGGAAATTATGCAGATTTGAGAGTGATCCCACGTGTGCACTGAGGATCCTTGATCAGTTGGCCATTGTTAGTTTACTATGTTTAACACTCAACAAATTGCCTCGTGACATTCATGACGGCTCTGGAAGGTCTGTCGAGTGACATCTAACTACTTTGCGAGATTCGTTTGGAGACTTTCACGCTTCTAGGAGTTGGCACCAGTGGCATAGCGTGTGTGTGTGCGTGCACTAACGGACCTTGCAGATCGAAGTCGGGGAAGTAGTCGGGGCAGTGCTGCACGGCAACATCCCCTGCCATGGTGTCTCCCCAGCAAAGCCAGCCGTCCCACGTGCGGTTGCAGTGTTTCCCTGTGGGCAGACGCAAGGACACTCCACTCCTACCGCATAGAGTAACTCCCCCAACGCAACGCAATTGCCAGTTGGCATGGTGTTGCGTTTTTGCGTGGCTTCCAAGAAAACCGGAGCTGCCGCGGGGGAAATGATTAGCTGCGCACTGGATTTGAAATCCAGATGTTACCGGTTTGATTCCATCTTCCGGCGCAACAGTTGATACAATGCAGCTTCAAATCTAGAAACAATGCAGCAAGTTTCTCCAACCCAGCCATATGAATGAGCTCGCCACAGTTAAGTCGATAGGCAGGTCGGGTGCGGTGGAAGTAAAGTGTGGCTATGCCCACCTCTTACAACACGTCCGGTCAGCGGGGAAGCATAGACCAAATATCCTTGAGAGTTCGCTCCAGTGCAGGCCCTTCCATCAGTCGTGAGAATAGCAAGCAATTGCAGGGCTGCGTCCCTACCTTTTATTTTCCCAAAGGAAACTGCATGCCCAGAGCATGGCCGATGGACGCACAGTAAAGGCACGCGTTTTTGTTTTTGGCTCGTGTTGTTTTTCATTAAATGTCCTCAATTAAGCGGACACTACCATAGCCTGCAGCAGAGGAGGTTGAGCGAGATTGGCATGAGCCCTGGTGACAAGACATGAAATGGGGCCTCCCCACCCGACATCAACCCCGTTCTTTGTAGCCCAGAGGCTGGGCCCCCTAAAACCCGCGCTCACCGGCGCAGTTGGACTGCCTGCACACACCATAGCTACGCAGCTTGCCCACGGCCCGCATTCGGGTATGCCAACGCGTGTCACGGGGTTGGCCCAAGCCACTTTAGCCCATTTCGCTGTGGGTGGCCCTGTGCACACGGCAGAGCGGCCGCGCTTTATAGAGACACAGTAACACAAAGAAACGAGAGTCGTCTTTTGATTAAGAATTCCTATGGCATCTGCGTAAAGAGCACGCACATCTGTTGCTGTGGTGCTCTGAAATGCGACAAATGCATCTTGGGCCATGAAATGAAAAGGACTGGTAATTTGCCACAATGAGCATTATGTAACAATAGCCCCGTGATTGCAGTTTTGATGTCTTACAAGCACAACTTGAATACAGTGCGGTCTATACCAAACATAATTTTATTCGCATTCTTATAATAATGAGCAGAGGGATCCCCATTGCTCTCCAACGGAAAATAAGAGACAAATGTCATTGCCACACGCTGCTCACAATCCTCCTGTAGTCGAAACACTCAAAGTAATCTGCCTTTTTAATGTAATAAAATTCCAAGATACTAATATTGCGAGTGTTTTTTTTTTATTCTCTAGGATTTAAGAATATTCTGGTCAAATAATGTCATTAATAGGAGCACAAATTGGAAAAGGTTACAGAGATTGAACCGTGGTCAATTTTCTGTATTTGTTACGCCCACCTCTTCTGTGTCACTATTGTATGTCTTCCCAACTTCTACTTTTGACCATTTCAATTCAATCAAATGTTCATGTGTTACATGGAAAATCCCGTTTAGCCAGTTACCCGGCTAGTTTTAGCCCACAGCCACGAACAACAGAGGCACAGATTATGTTCAATAGTCGTGCGATTTGTTTTTGCTATTTATATTTATTGCAGCGTAACAAGATCTCCACGTCGCCCCTGCCTTGGTCAGTGTGCCTCCAGTATTTTTAGTGCAGACTGTAGACCCTGGAGCAACAAGAACCCTGGCCTGAGGGGCTCGAGCATTGCCTGTTAAAGGCCCCCCAAAGGCGACTCCAACAACTTCCCTCGCATCCACGCTGCGAGAAAAAAAACCCACAAGCGAGAGCGAAGAGCGCCCGTGCCCAGAAACACGATGGTCGTTGGCGATGTATTCTGGCTGTGCAGCAGGGTTTATTGTCCGATTCCCCTCCCCAAATTCTACTGATCTGATATCCTGACCGTGAAGAAAATTAAGTGGGCTTGGGTCCAGTGTGAGGAAGGGATGATTGACCGGTGGTCAAAACTAATGTCAAAATGGCAGCCATTTGCAGGGAAAGCGCCCGAGAGAATGTCCACTGCAGAGACAGTGGCGAAATCGGCTCGCGTAGGGTGCTAAATATATTGCTCCATTGCGGGACTGTAAGAGATGACCGTTTCAGGAGGCCCTGATCCAGCAGCAGCGGAACGATCATGGCTGACGATTGTAATGATGTTGCCCACGAGGTGTGGCTTCACCAACATCGCGATGTGCGTCATCCTGGGTGACACGCCCACCGAGCCACGAGCCCCATCTACACAGCGAGTGACCTTGTCCTGACATTGACCCCATCCACTGCTCAGGTAGCCCCGCCAACTAATTGGGTAGCCCCTACCCTTTGCCCGCACCACGAGTCGAGCACCAGGCCAGAGCGTTTTTTTTTCGCAGCAGACAAAATCAGTTTTTTCTCTGTCGAAAATTCTTCGGTGGAAATGAGGACTGTCCCGGTCAAACCAGGGCGTTTGGTGGCTTTAAATCCACGGCGGTGCCGTTCTTGATTGCGTGTGAAGGCTCTGTAGTGCCGGACGGGCCCGGGTAATAATGTGGCTAAACAGTGGAGGCATTTCTACCGAAAGTGCCAAAGTGCCTTTGGCCATATAAGCCGTGGGGCCTGGGCACCACGGCGTTCTGCAGCAGGCCAGCTCGCATCGCTCCTCAGCGCTGATTTAAGCTGCGTTTACGCGAGCGCTTCATAAAGACGGCGCTGTTTGTTTAGAAGGTTATGTATGCGTCATAGCTGGTGGTTAATCTGGCAGTGAACCCGATTTTCGGTGACAGAGTGTAGCGAAAAGTCAGGTTGGAACTTTATCCTTGTTAAAGGTACCTGACACCGCTTACAAACTAAATCCCGTGTGTTGTGTTTGGACGTGCGTTGGCCGTGCCTCTCCCCATCTCCAACTGCCACTATCATGGGTTTCCTTTCTTCCTATAAGGTTCGAAACAAACCAGGACCGATCATGGAGAGATTAATATGTCCGAAGGGGGGAGAAAACTTCATGTCTTGAGTGATGTATTATTGCAGAGATGGGATTATTGGAGTTAGGCACTAGCACTACATTATTGTAGCCTGCATTCTCATAACTCAGTAAAACAGTTTTTAATGACAAATACGGTGAGATGGATGTGCGTGCTAAAATTATTCCTGGAACAACGTTCTGTAATGTTCCAGTTGATTTAAGCACTCGGTGTATTTTCCCCAACTCACAATCATTGAGACTTTGAATGCCCCGGGATGACTTGCAGATTTCCCAGCACAGCATCAATCTCAACAAAATAACAATCCTTGGAAAATCAGGACAGGTGGAAGGTGTTTACTAGGGCCAGCTGTGTTAGCCGGTAGCTAGCTATGTTTGATGGGGATAGCTGTGTTTCTAGATGTAGCTATGCAAACTTGCGGGTCGCTGGCTGTGTGTCTGTGGTGTGGCTGTGTTACTTGGGTAGCCGTGGTGTTTTGTGGTGTGGCTGGTTCAAGTTTCAAGTTCATTTTGATGAAACAGGTGAGAACTCAAGTAATCAAGATAGTCCCATTTTCAAGAGAGACCTGGGGCCTTACTTTGCTGGTCAGGGGCGATGATTGCGAAGTAGAATCCAAATGTAGTAATTTGCAGTGTAATTTTCGAATGTGCCATATTTAGACCCAGACACCTGGACATAATGAAAATACTCTTTCTGAATGACATGAGGGGATCTTTTAACGTCCACTGTGAAGCAGACGGTGCGTTAGTATGATTATGGTTATTATCCCTGCAGGAATAATCAGGGCGGCCACTGGATTCTAGCCGTTAAGATCTGCAACAAGCGGTTAATGCACTACCGCTGGGCCGCATCACCGCCCATAAGAGTTGTCTGGCCATCGAACAAAGACGGTCACTGCATCGCGCACTTTTGGATGTGCCTCTGCGGCCGTCTGGAACGCTCTTCCTTCCAATATTAGGAAGCCACTTTTAAATGTAGATATTTTTCTAAAACTGCTTCTTCTTTTGACTTTGCTATTCTTCCCCGCACCTCCGATTAGCGCGGTTGGCTTTGTACGTTGCGACAGAAGTTCAATGTACGTGCGTACATACGGGTGGCACGTGTGAGTGGGGGACTGACCCATGCCAGTGTAGGGCGGCTCCAGCAGCATCCTCTTGTTGCACTCGTACTGCATCTTGGAAATCCGATGCGTGTTGAGGTGCTTGGCAGGGGGCCGCGGCGTCGGTGAGGGCGGCGTCTTTATGACCTCCCCAGCCGTGCCGCTCGCCAAAATCTCCATCGGCTGTCGGTGTTACGGAATTACACAGCTCAGCTCGGCATCCCGAACACGGTTATTCCTCACAGAAAGAGAGAGACAAAGCAGCAGAGCTAAACCCAGCATATTTAATTTTAGTCGCTGGCGTGGGGATGGCTGACCTGCACATGTCACTGTTGCCTCTGGGCCCTTGCAGGGCTTCTCCTAGTGGTGGTAATAGCCCGTTGGGGGCTAGAAATAATGTTTAGACCCCCCCCTCCTTATCAATGTATAAAAACCTCGTGAAATTACAAGACATATAGATGTGGTGAGATAAGAGAAATGTATGCAAAAATATAGGTGTGGTGAGGTGAGAATATATTAACTTTTCTAAGTTAATTCGCATTTTATTTACGAGGAGCTGATTTCAGATGATATTTCATGCACCCCATTATTTAATGAATCTGGAGTCTCTTGGACTACTTGGGCCCGTACACTTTGGCTTGGTTTTCTTATGCCTAGCTCCACCACAGACGTCTCTATAACTCTGCACCCACTGAAACCTCTCATTACTAATTGCCAATTATCTGAGCTGCTCGCCCAATAAATTGTTGGATGAAGTCACTAACACGGCTAGACTCTGAGGACTGTAGGTCCTGTCTATGATGGTCTGGGATTTGGTAGGGTCCATCTAGGGGCCAGCTCAACATTGAACTCTGACCTCTGATGCTGAAATACTGGCCCTGGATCTGGGATCCTGACCGTGGCTGTAGCCGAATCCAGATTCTGACTGGGGTTCGCTCCACTCTCGTTGTAACGATTTCACGATTTAAATTTTGTGCAGCATCTAAATACAAAGTATCTCAAGATGCTGGACAGAACATTTTGCACAAACAGGAAATACAAATAAACAGAAACGGTTAAAGCGTGTAACTACATAACGGTGACAAAACAAAATAAGACCAAATGCAGCGTCCCCACGCATCAGCCCCATCGCAAGCTACGGTTGCGACCTCTGAGGTACGAACACCATGAAATATCATGGGAAGAAGAGTACAGTATAGTATCACGCGTTGTCTTGAGTGGTGTAGTTTTGCATAAGTGACATAAACTGGGTCAAATGTCCCGGAAAAGCTGACATATTTCCCAATGCAACGGCCGCAAAAAAAAATTAGGACAACCCTTGAAAAACCAGGACAGGTGGCAACCGTAGCTGCAAGCACTCAGGAGCCAAATGGCGCTCCGCATGCCACTTCCACGCTGCGTCGACGCCACCCCAGGCCACCCAGCATGTGGTACAGGAAATCAAACTGCTACCCTCTGGGCCCTCACATGTTCCAACACGCAACTCAATGATTCTCCGCGTGTTTGTGGGTTTGTGGGGGGAGAGCGGTGGTGCGCTACGGACCCGGCGACCCGAGTTCGATTCCTGCTCACGACCAATAACGGTGGCGAATATTTGAACCGGTCCGGGCAGTCACATAGATCGATTCAGCCTCAAATGAGTGCCTGGTGTGGTATTTAAACATCGCCACTAGGGAGACACCCACTCCCTCGTGTGCCGTGCCGGCCTTCATGTGTGCTCGTTAACAACACTTGCCCCAACAGTCTGTTAAGGCTATACCGGGTGTCTTTGTCTTTTGTCTTCGTGAGAGCCTAAGAGCCCAGCATGCGTATGAACCCATTCATCCTAAAACGTGATTCACCGCAGCATCTTGTTTACATAATGCACATCGAACCGCCCGGCAACGGGTGCAGTCTGCTGAATCGTGTGATCACAGACAAGAGGCACTGTGTGGCTGAGTGATGCATGTTGGTGGCGTGTGCCCGTGACATTATACATCGACGTTTGTCGAGAACCAAAACCCACGCCAATAACAACCGCCCTTCTTCATATCCCTGTGACGAACAGCCATTGCCGAGAAACGCTTCCGATTGCATGTACACATAAACAGTATTTCCTTAATGGGAACTGTTCTTGACGGATTTTGAGCTTTTGCTATGAGTGCTTATGCACCATCACGAGGAAAAATACATCTTTATTTAGAGCCCCGAAGAGAGCCAGGCGAGAGAGTTTCTTTTGAAAGGCAGATATGCCAACTTCAGCAACGGAGTATAAAGCCTGCCGCTAATGATTATGTCCAGTGTCGTTGATGCGGTTGCACGTTCCCTGGTCTGACACTGGTGAGACCAGGCCCCAGAGGTCGCAAACGGGTTTTGATTCCTCACCCTTACCCGTACCCGGCCGCACCAGGGTCGCAAACGGGTACCTGTACCCGTACCCGGCCGTACCCGTACCCTACCCGTACCCGGCCGGGTACGGGTAGGGTACGGGTATCGGGTACCTGATTGCGACCTCTGCGATGAAGCCATGTTGCAGGCGCGGGTGGGTTGATTCTAGGAACTTGAATTGTGAGAAGAGACAAGACGTTGGGAAATGAGTGACAAACGGTGACTCACCAGTGACTCACGGTCTACCCGTACCCGTACCCGGCCGCACCAGGGTCGCAAACAAATACCCGTACCCGTACCCGGCCGGGAACGGGTAGCCAGTGTTGTATATGTTGGTTATGAAAATTTGCTATGTTGTATGCGTGCGTGGGTGAAATTATTATGTTGTATATGTGGGTTATGAATATTCAGTGAAAATAATAATAATTAAATGAAATCTGGCCAAATGTGTAATTATCCGAAAATATGTTAATTATGTAATTACGCACATTTTAATTATGCCAATTCGAGAGGTAATCGGATTAATTATGCGAGTGGGTGTAATTATGATAATACAAGTCGTTATGATAACCAGACCCCGCCTCGGTGACGAGGGTGGGTTATCGATCGGAAGAAGGCAATTAATCGTATGCAGTTATGCAGGTGTGGTGTAAGTATGCAAGATTAACTTAGATTAACTCGGCATCGTTGTCTAGGTTCGTCTCATTCTCGCTTTAACATTCCCAGAGTTTTATTCGTGGTTATATTTTTAGGTCCCCGGTTCACCCCGTTATCGCTTTAACATTTACTGAGTATGTATTAGTGTGTTTATTAAGGTCACCAAGTTCAAATCTCAACGCAGAAGCAGATCTTATGCATAGATTTCAGGAAAGAATCACACAACCACTTCTGTATTGATCAATTTATTACTAATTCAACCTTAACTATGATATAGTATGCGAACTCTCAATCCCGGAACGTCAATACGGCATCAATACAGTATCATCAACGATTGTCTGATTTCACTTTGACAACGGCACATGGATCCCGCATAACGCGATGGTTCTTAGTGAGAGAGAGTCGTTCAAACATGCAAATATCATGCTAAGAAAACCTTAACGTTAATGAATGATTATACTCAATATTGTTCACGCAGTACCGCACTCCTTATTGATCATACGCAACCCTTATCACGTTGTTAACACCTTGGGTCACGGAACCGTTGAATATTCTGTAGAGGATGCGAGTACGTGCGGCGATTATGACTGAAAGATACTTGAAAGATTATACGGCGATAAAAAAAAACACAATCAAAAACAGTTATTATTCTTAAAGGCACCAATCTCAACAGATACATCGGCAGGTTATCTCAGAACGGCTCGGAGTAAGGGCCTGCGACGGTGCTCCTTTTCCGAAGATCGTTATCTTATACCAAGTTTACTAATTGGGGACCAGATCACCTGATAAGGATCCGGTGGGCCACCACTCCCCACGTGAGCGTGGCTCGGCGGAAGGAGGTGCCAAGAATCAGTTCGTATTGATGGATCTGTTGGGAATTTATGCGATTAAGAGTACAGCCCACTAAATATTAAAGATAAAAATTAAGAATACTCTTATACGACGGAGGCCACCACTCGGTCTCGTTGTGATGCCTTCCCAGCCACGGATGACTTGTGGGTTCGAGTGTGTTTGAGTGGTAAGAGTTGTCTTGAATAGTCAGTGTTCGGAGTCGATTCTTTATGTCAAACAGACGCCTGGTGGTCGTGTGGTGAGGGGGCGGTGCGCGTCATACGTATCAGGCGCTCCCCTGTCACCGTGGTGAATTGGCTCGGATGGCTGTTGATACGCTGTCGCAGTTCGGAACCCGGTCGGTAGGTGGCGCCCACAACTCGCTCGTAGCGTGCAGCGCTGGATCGTCGCCAAGTCGCGACGCTCACCACCGGCGGCAGCGGAGATCTCCGGCGGCAGCAGAGATTGACGAGCTGAAGATGAGTCGAGCCGACCCGCTGGTCGCAGCTCGCTCCTGAGTCGACCCTCCCGGTCGAGCTCGCTCCTGGGTCGACCCGCTGGTCGCCCTCGCTCCTGAGTCGACCCTCTGGTCGCACTCCTGAGTGGACCCACTGGTCGCACTCCTCCTGAGCCGACTCTCCCGGTCGCGCTCCTGAGTGGACCCTCTCGTCGCACTCGTTCCTGAGTCGACCCTCCCGGTCGAGCTTCTGAGTGGACCCTCCCGTCGCACTGGTTTCCAATGCTCAGGATCCTTTACTTTATGCCGAAAATTCCCCCTGGATCCCGCCCACAAGGCGGGGCTTCTTCCGATTTTTGCTGTGTCAGGATCTGTCCGTAGGCAGGTGTGTCCATGTGTCTGTCCGTATGTCCGTGTGTCCTTGTGTGCATCACTGACGGTATATTCGTTGTCACACTCCCTCCATAAAACCCACGAGCAAACAATCAGATGTTACAAATTGCCTCGAAGTCGTCTCTCTGTCTGGGTGCAATATTATCTCTTGTCTGGCCGTCTTCATGACCCAAAACACAGACGTTACAAATCGTCTCATAGGCGTCTTTGTTCGTGTTGCACAACCTGGAGGGAGGGGCAACACTCTCTCCGACCCGGCGCACAAAGAAATGGTTAAAAAGTTTTAAGTTAACATTTGTCCCTTACTATTTCACAGTTATGATTCTGTATGTAACCTAAGGTCTGTCGTTTCCCATCGTGGTGCCCGACCCAAGTGTAGGTGTTTCCCCGAGCGTACACACACTCCTATCCCGCGCTGCGGGGATACAAAGACGGCCGGGATCTCCCTTTCTCTCCGACCCTGGGTTTAACATCGTTG